TGTTGCCTTTAAATCTCAATGTAAGAGGCGATTTCAGTGCCTTTCGTCGCTGGTGCCCGCGTTCGGTCATATCAAATGAGTTGTAAGCCCTCCCCCATTAAGTGCTTGCGTTTATTATATATGCTATTTGCATTTCCCCTTCTTCTCGAAACCTTCGTGGTTTAGCAAGCTTAAACCAAAAAGAACTTTTCAGAGGTGTACGACCAGGCTCATCTCCTAGATATCTGCCAGGACTTTAAACAGCCGCTTGCGGGTTTGGAATCTGGATCTGAGAGTCTCTTATCCTCCTAGAAATAAAGGAAGGGGACCATCTCTAGGCTAGTTCAAGGTTGAGAAGTGGCTGGAAGTTGCCAGCGGTTCTCTCCTCTACACTCCACCGCCTAAGGCATCGCTGGAAAAAGCCCTGCGGATCTCAAGCGGCGGCTTGTGGCTGAGTGTCAAGCTGCGGGCGCAGGCTCGGCCGGTATTGCTGCTATGCGCGGAAATATGAGCGAGTAATTTTATAAGTAACAAAGGATCAGGGATGGAATGAGGCCCCTGTTATCCAATGTCATTTAGAAGCCTTGGATCAGCAGCTTCTTGAAGCTAAAAGTGAATGCAAGAAGCCCTGCCTTTCTCTTTTCCCAGGGGTGTCAGCTATATTTAGAAATAACCTCTATGTGTTTGCACAAATCATGTACCATTTGCTGTTTGTGTAAAAACCGATTAGCCAGACACAACTGTGAAACAACTTGTTACTTTTATAGCTGCAACACACAAACAAATTTAGATCCGTTTAGTTTTCCTTGTAAAAAGAGATTAGAAGGGACCCGCCCGGATACTGTGTGGTCCATAATCTCTTCTCCGTGAAGGTTTCTGTTGCTCCTTTCGGCGGCGGTTATCAGATTCTTGTTTATCAAGTTGAACTAACTCACCCCTGGAATCCTGTTTTATTTTAGGACCTTGATCCAGAAGGAATGTTTACTCAGACACAATGTTTACTGTTTACCCGGAAAACAGATCGGTGTTTGTGAGGAAGGGTCTTTGAAAGAGACTCCTTAGTCCACGTTGACAGCAGAGAAATAAGGCTCGGATCCGAAGCCGGGAGGCATCTCCGCGACCAGTAGGCGAGGTGGACGCTGGCGCCGGGGACGGTGGCAGTGTTTTGCAAACAGGACGTACATAGGGCCCAGCTGACAGTCCTGCTACCCACTCCAGCTTTAGAAAGCGATTTCGCATAAGTAAATGTTAACAGCTAAATTAATTACAAAATAATTAGAATTGATGCCGTTTGAGTATATGTTAGTGGTGGTGGGAACCGGCCTCCGGCGTCTAGATGTTTCTTTTGTACCTTAATACTTTTTAGGTTGCAACAGCTGAAATGCACATTAAAAATACTCTACGAGGACATCGCCACATTCCTGCCCTATGATCTCGCATTTCACAACCAGCCTAAGGTATACGTATTTTTTTAAGTAAAAAAAAAAACAAAAAACAACGGGGGAAGGGATGTGCACCTGTTTGTAAAAGGGTATTTATTTATCAAGGCCTTCAGAAAGACTGCGTGTTGGAGGAAGAGGAGGTATCCATAGCAATCCTTCAGAAATTAAAATTATGTTGTGGATTGATTATGGCCATAGACAAGAGGTATCTTATTTGAAAATAATATGAAAGAATAAAACAACTATGTACTATCAGGTTAATGTAATACAATTCCACTGCAAAATTTAAACTGCTGTAACGTACATTTAGACAATCAACTGGGTTTATTTACCACTTCCACTTAAGGAATGAAAATAAGTAATTTCAAAAACCTAAGATTTAAATGCTAAAATGGGGGATGTTTGGAATTTACATTCTTTTAAAAGGACAATTGAAATGATCAAGAATTCGCATGTGGGAAATTTTCATTGCATATAAATCCGCGTTTTTAAAAATGTAAGATTGTGCTGTTGTATAGGCTAAGGTTGGTTTTTTAATGGTGATTATTTTATCTACAGAAACATCTGGTCATTTAGATTCAGTGGATTGATATGAATGAGATCATTGGCGACATCCCGATTTTATGTGAAAAACTAAAAGAAAAATATTAATACTATTTAAATTAGGCATATTCTTTACTTTCTCCAATTAAATTTTTCTTACAAATTATGAATTAGCAAAGTTTGAAAAGGTCATTACTTGAAATTCCTTGAAAAGATGAAATGCAAATACCATTTTGAAATCTTGTCATTTATCTCAAGACACCTAAATGAAACACTAGGCTGAGCATTTTAAAAATTTATTTACAAAGCTGTGTACAACACGATGGAATAACATTTAGAATACCATATATATTCATTCATATATAAACAGACTTTTATAATAGAATGACACTTCTCGCCTTTTGAAAATTTTTTTATATTTAAAATCTCCCAACGTCTCTATACATTTTATTTCTCACATAAAACTGTGGAGAGTGAACCTTCAAAAAAAATGAAAGTTCAGAGCTCTAAATCTACGGAATTTGTGTTTTCTTAAAAAAATAAAAACCCCGAAAGGAAAGTCAATAATTTTTATACAAATATGTACAAAGAATTTCCCTCCCATCCCCCACGGTACTGAGACTAGGCGCCGTCAGGGTACATTTTTGGAAAATTAGGTTTTCGGTTTTACCTGTACGGAAAGCTATTCCCGGCGGGCGCGCAGTGAGAGTTTGCTCCCAACCTAGGTATGCGCAAGAGGGTGGAAGCCGCGGAGGTCAGTGTTGAGGGGTCGGGGGGAGGAAATGGAGAAAAGGCAGAGTCCGGGATTGGGCAGGGGGGCCGGGACCGGGGCGGGGCGCCCAGCCAGGAAGTGCAGCCACGGCCGGGAGCCGCCGCCGGGCCCTGCGTCCCGGCCACCGGCGCGTCCCTATTGTGCGGGCCACTTGGCTTGCGCGGCGGCCGCGGCGGCGGCGGCGGCCGAGGCTGCGGGCTGCAGGAACTGTCCAGAGAGCGGCACGCTCAGAATGGGCGCGATGGTGGCCGTCGTCCGGCTCAGCGACAGTGGCTGGTGCGTGGCCATGAGCGCCGCCGATTGCACGGTACCCGGCGGCCGCAGGAAGGACTGCGCCGCGCTGCCGCTCCCGCCGCCCCCGGTGCCCCCAGTTACCCCCGCGCCCCCGGGCGCCGGGGGCCCCCCGCCGATGATGTTCTCGATGCTGAACGACGGACGCGCGCTCGGCTCGGACTTGATGAGCGACGCCGTGGTGCCCGCAGCGCCCGCCGTGCCCGCGGCGGCCGCGGCAGCGCCCAGGCTGTTGAGCTGCAGCTGCAGGCCGGGGCCAAGCTGAGAGCCGAAGGCGGCCGCTTTGCGGCCCAGCTCACCCGAGGGCAGAAGCGGCACGGCGGGCGGCAGCACAGGTGCCACCGGCGGCAGCGCGTACGGGTACTGGAGCGCCGCGGCCGCGGCCGCGGCCGCCGNGCTCAGCGACAGTGGCTGGTGCGTGGCCATGAGCGCCGCCGATTGCACGGTACCCGGCGGCCGCAGGAAGGACTGCGCCGCGCTGCCGCTCCCGCGGCCGCCGCAGCCGCCGGGTGCGAGTAGGCGCCCGCGGCGGCCGCGGGGTGAAGACCGTAGGGGCGGCCGTAGGGCCCCGCGGCGCCCGCCGCCGCCGCCAGGCTGTAGGCGCCGAAGCTCTGCATCATGAGCGCCGTCTGCTCGCGCAGGTGCTCCTGCTGGTGGCGCTTGAAGCGTTTCCGGCGCCGCAGGAAGCTGCCGTTGTCGAACATGTCCTCGGACTGCGGGTCCAGGGTCCAGTAGTTGCCCTTGCCCGGGTTGCCCGGCTCGCGGGGGATCTTGACGAAGCAGTCGTTGAGCGAGAGGTTGTGGCGGATGCTGTTCTGCCAGGCGGGGAACTTCTCCCGGTAGTAGGGGAAGCGGTTGCTGATGAACTCGCAGATGCCGCTCAGGGTCAGCTTCTTCTGCGGGCTCTGCAGGATGGCCATGGTGATGAGCGCGATGTACGAGTACGGCGGCTTCACCAGGCTGTTCTTGGGCTTGCTCGGGGCCAGGCCCCCGGGCCCGCCGCCGCTCCCGCCGCCCTCCTCGCCGCCCACGCCGCCCTTGCAGCCGTCGGCCTCAGACGCGCCCGCCTCTCCCGCTGGCCCGGCCCCGGCCCCGGCCCCGGCCGCCTCCTTGGGCAATGCCAGGGGCTGCTGGTGCGGCGGCTGAGGCTGCCCGTGGTGGGGTGCTGCCGGCGTCACCTCGTCCGCCTCGTCCAGGCGCAGCTCTGGCGGCCCCGCGGGGCTATCGCAGCCGGCGTCGCTGTCCTTCTCCTCCAGCCCGTCGTCGCCCTCGCCCACCACATCGATGTCCACGTCCTCGGCCGTCAGCACCGTCTGGCCGGACATGTCGCTAGCGCTGCCGCCGCCGGAGAGGGTCATCCCTCCTCGGGGTTGGTGGCGGCGGCTGGGAAGGAGCAGCAGGCGATGGGGGTCGTCAGGAGCTGCCGCCGAGCTCAGGGAAAAGGGGTTTGGACGCCCCCGAAAGATGTGGTGCTGGGAGACTGGAAGGGGTCAGTAGGTGGCTCGGGGCCCTCCCGGCTTGGCTCACACTCAGCGGCCCGGCATCGCGCGGCGGGCGCTGCGGTCCGCCCCCCGCGGCCGCGCTCCGCAAACTCCTGCTGTCTCTGGCGCTCGGTACTAGGCGCTCGCTGCCTCTCCCGACCCCGGCGGCTTCTCCACGCCGCGCCCCCTCACTTCGCCTGCCTTCCTTGGCCTCTGGGCCGGGCGTGGGGAACAGGAGCTGTGCAGGCGGGCGCGGGACGCCGGGCGCCGAGCAGCTCGGGAGGGCGCGGACAGGGGCAACGAGGGGCGGGGGTGTCGGGGACGCCGAAGCCCCAGTAGTCGAAAGTCCCGTTTTAAGGACTGGCCTGATAGATTACTTTCTACTTAAAGATCCAGCGGGAGGCGGGGCCACGTGACCGCGCGTGACGTCAGGGCAGCCGCTGAGCCGGCCAAACTCAAGTTGGTTCAGGGAATTGTCAACAAAGGGACGAGGGACCCGCAACTCTGAGCCTCACCGTGCGCCAGCATCCCGCGGGCCCTGAAGGCGCCCTGGCCTGCCCGGGGAGACCCCAGCCTAGGCTGAAGCCCGACGCGGGGGTCGAGGGAGGTTGTAGGTGTGAGTGCGGTAGAGTGGGTGTGAGCGAGTGAGGGCGTGGGCCTGGGAGCGTCCGCTGGACCCGGCAGCTCAAGCTGCCCTGTTCTCTCCGCCCCCTCTCCCTTTGCCCCTTACCCTTCTACCAAAACTCCTTGGGCAACAGAGAACGGGATTCTCATCCCAGTTTTTAAAGAAAAACTTAGTAGTCTCTGTTTTGTGTTTTGGTTTTGATTCTTTTTAGCTTTAAAGAGTAAGGGCTGCACTCCCAGCTCCGTTTTGCTAATTAGATTTCAGACCCCCGCCCACCCCCCA